TTTTTGGCCAATAGTATCCTGCTCTTATTAAAGTTTTTACCAATGATCTTCCCCCAGCATGATTGTCGCAGTGCCCCTCAGGTACTTCCCTCATCACATATTCCGTTTGTGAAGGTTCGAGACACTATGCCAAAAGTCCTCCGAACATCATTTGGTATAAGTTTCCATGAATTAAGCAATACCGGACGGATTTTGGCAAAGAAACTGTGACTTCTTCTTGTCTTCGGGTAAGATTCTGTACTGCAAAAAGTTAACAAACTCGTTCCTCCAATCCCAAATTAGATTATTAAATTTTACCTTGTTCTTGTCTTGGTGGATATCTGAATGAAATAAATGTATTACAATGGCATTTTCTGCATTTGTTATTTCCGTAATAGATGCGAGATTGGCCAGCGCATCCGCTTCCGCATTCTCCTCCCTGGGTATTTGTACGACCTTCCACGACTAAAATTGTCTAACTAATTCGCATACCTTTTTCAGGTATTGTTGCATTCGCTCTCAAGCTATGTATGTCCCCCCGCATTTGGTTAACTACTAGCTGCGAGTCACTTTTGATTACAATTTGTTCTATACCAAGTTCCCATGCTAGTTTAAAACCTGCAATCACAGCTTCGTACTCTACTTCATTGTTAGTGATGGGATGATATTTTATTGCTTGTCTTATTACTTTCCCTGAAGGCGGAATTAAAATAAAACCTAAGCTCGTTCCTTTAACATTCGAGGAACTGTCAGTAAATAAAATCCAAGTCCCTGAATTAGATCCGGTAAATACCTGTAATTCCTTTTATGCTTCAGCAACTAAAGTCGTGCTGAAATCTACTACGAAATCTGCTAAACCTGCGATTTTATTGTAGTTCTGGGCTGATATATGATATCATACTCACTGAGTTCTATTGCCCACTTAGCTAACCTACCAGATAGTTCTTGTTTATACAATATATTCCTCCGGGGAAAAGTGGTTTATTACAAAGATAGGATGACATTGGAAATAAGGTATCAACTTTCTAGATGCCATAACTAATGCTAAAGAAAGCTTTTCTAGATGAGGATATTGTTTCTCAACATCTAGCAAAGATTTACTAACATAATATATTGGAGATTGTTTACCTTTATCCTCCCGTACCAACACCCACTACTAGAAATTAAGCCTACGACAACCCTTTCAAAACCGTACCTATAGATACTGAAACCGCCCCTATAGGGATAATGGGACGGTTTGGGACGTGTTCCCAGATTCAGCGTTACAATAGATCAACTAGAACGGTTATCTGTAACAATTTTCAAACCGTCTCCGTATATGACTATTGCAACGGTTATAACTCAACCAATGACCACTCTATGGGAACAGTTTTCTGCTGTGTTGGAACGGTTATAAACCGTTGTGTTATAATTGTGCTAACGAATTTTTAAATCTATTGCGACGGTTTTCATGATATATTGTAACGGTTTTGTTATATATTGGAACAATTGTTTGTATCCTATTGCAACGGATATTGCAACATATTGCAACGGTTATTATAGGGATGCTATTGTTCTTTACTAGGTCTATTGGAACGGTTATATTGTCCGTTGCAACAATTCACTATTGTAATTTGTAATATTTATGGAAGCAAAATGAGGCATATTTTCTAATTTTCCTATGCAATGAAATTTTACACATCATAACTTGTAGAAACCACAAAAAAAGATTAAAATATCTAACTCGCATTATCCATATCCTAAAAAAAAATATGAATACATTGTTTGATCAACAATTCAAAAGTCAAAATAGATGAGTTTTAATTTGCATACAAAAAGTTCTAAACCAAAATATCCTTGATGATAGAAAGTCTAATAACGATCAACAAAACTCAAGTAAGGTCTTCATCACTGCTTTCATCCGCAATCGATGCACCTACAAAATTCAAGCACAAATAGTTAAACAAAGAAAGTTTTAAGAAAATTGAATAATAAAGTGTTGCTAATTAACTGCTCTTCTCACACATGGAATGCAAAAAGGCATGGGACGGAAAAGTAACATTAGAGTGTTGAATGACCAATTTGATAACTCAAAAAATTTCTAACTCTCTAAATTTTTAAAATTTTCGGCAAAATTTCCTTTGTAAATATGACTATCTCAAAATATTTAACCTGCTCAAAACAATATTATGCTATACACAAGAGTAATTTTCAACTCTCCCATCTGTTACAATAATATTTAATTTCTTTAACAACATACAACAAACCAGAATCATCAACAGACAAACCATATCAAACAACTCTCCAGTCTATAATTTTTTAAGCAACAATCTGCCGTAATATCTTCAAACACTATTGCATCACAAAACAACATCACAACTAAATTATTCAACCTGCTCAAGTAACAGTCACTCCAATCGCAACCTCATTTAAATAATTAAGTGCAGCACATGAAGTACCAACCTAAGACAGTAGATCTCACAAAAATTATTAAATTGTCAATGAGTTAATACCTGGAATGAGTTGGCCTTCTTTGTTGGTAGCAGTATAGGGACGATGGATTAGTTACAATGTTGTTTGCTGAGCAGATGAAGCTTCTCCTAATGAATTATCACCCAATGCTGCAAGAATAATAGTAGCATCAATATCAATTCCTGAACGCTGAAGATGTGCAAGGACATCTGCAACAACTTCTTGACGGATAGTTGCCTTTTGTTCCTCAATTTTTTCCTCCATTCTTTGTATCTTCTCCTCCAATTTTTGTATAGAATTTGAAGTATTTGAAGATGGTTCAAAATATCCTACTTTCCCTCTCAAAGAAGTTCTTGTAACCCCTCGTCCATACAATCTCAGACGTCTTGAATGTTCAGGTCCCATGACAGATGCAAATGCCTCTACGGACTCATTACCATTTTCGTTTTGTTGTGCTTCAACTTCCTCCATTTCAGCTTACAAAGAAAATTCAAAAAAATATAATTCAAGTAAATAAAAAGTAAACAAATAGAAACAAATAATTGATCTCAATATAACATTAATTAAATATAATCGCACAATTTTACTAGTTGTATCTTCATCCGAGGACTTGTATGATCGCCCAACTTTTCTTTTTCTTGTAGCAACAAAGACTTCCTTTGCTGATAAAGGATCCGAAGTTTCCTTGTCTTTTTCCTAGTTACATGAAAGTGAGTTAGCATTCCTAATGATCTGCCATGAACTAAACAAAAGCTAAAATTGAAATATTTTTGCCACGATTGGCTAGTTACACACTAACTTAGAGCGAACTAAAGCAAAACTTCTTTTTCCAGCAGTGTGAGGATTCTTCAACTTTTTTCGATTCTCAATGTTAGTTTTAGACATTCTCTGCAAACAGAAAGAAACACCAAACAACAACTTACAAGTAGGACTTGAGAAGTACAAAGTGAAATGCACTGTGGTGGACTATAAAAAATCAGCAATAGATCTTACTATTAAATGAGCTAAAGCAAATCAAGGTAAAGATTTCTGTTCATTATACATCCATACATCAAATAACACAGTACTCCTTAACAAAGATTTATGTTCAAAATCCATTAAAGGAAATTAAATTGTGGTTGTTGACATGAGTACTATTCTTATATTGCATGAAAAAGCTAGCTGTTGTCGTAGTTATCATATTGATTAATCAAATCTAACATATTCATAATTGTCCACATAAGCCTCAACTTTACAATTATTTTAGTTTTTTCTGCAGATGTCACCAATAAAGGTACCTGAGAATAAATGTCAAAAGCATATTATTTTAATTTTTCAAGTCACATGCTTTGACTTCAGGACTGCATCATAAGTATATTTTTCTTTCAAGGTTGAAAAAACAGAAACCACCTAGCTTTTTTTTTCTTTTCTAATTTTTGCTTATCATTTGAATTTATCTGTTTACAACTGCTTGTAGGACCTGAAGGCCAAATCTAGTGCAGCATTTCACATAGGCCTAACATAAGTATCATATATATTGCGACAGAGAAGAGGAGCTTTGAAGTTAATCGTGTCCTATTTGGTATGGAAACTTCCACAGAAAAAGTATGGATGTAAAGGCATGATTGCTTCCTGTTTTTCTACCATAATAAACATGAAAAGCATCAATCTCATTAATCTCATTATGAACTGCTCCAAAAGCCTCAAACCCAGAAGCCTACGGCCAGGTACTAGGGAAAAGAGCTGCTCCATCAGATATTTTGAGAATGTGTATATGTAATTTAAAAGGAAGGAATGAATAGGATGTACTATTATAATGTACCATCTAGCAATTGAAAACATTTACAGCAGCATCCCTGAAGTAGAGAAATAAGGGAAAGACAACAACAATGGCCAAGAAGAAGGAGAAAACTAAAAAGAAGATAAAGAAGAACTTTAAGAAGTAGTTCAAGAAGATGAAGAAGAACAAATAAAAAGTTACATACCTGGAGTTTCTTAGAGTTCCAATACCTAAGGAGTTCCTTAAACTAAGAAACTGGAACATCTTCAGGGATATGTTCCATTCGAGTTTCATCACTTCTATAGGGGTCAAAGTGATCTTTTTTCAATCTACTCTTATGCTTTCTCCAGGCAGCTTGAACTGATTCTAAAGTATATGTTTTTGCAGCTTCAGGAATATCATATTTATCCTACAATTGGTGTCAAATCTGTTAGTGCAGAAAATATGAAAGATTTTCAATCAAAAATTAAAACTTAAGAAGTTCAGACCTTGGTATATTCCCATATATCCTCTTTTGTGTCCATCTTCCTCCAATCCAAAATATCAAGAGGACATAGAGTCGCATTCCTTGCCAATGTGCCGAGGAAGCTTCCAAACTCTGTCACAACTGCGTCACTAGGACCGACGGGTTGATTTAAGTTGTTAAGTAAAATTAATTTATGCTCATGTCGTCCATGTACACTTTTCATCTTTGTTTTTCCTCTTTTTCTTGTTTGATTAGAAGGGCCTTCAACCAAACAAAACCACCAAATCACTATTGTTGGTATATTTTTTATGACTGAAATAGGATATAAATATTTTTAGATAAAGACTATAGGTTCTTACCTTGTTCTTCACATTGTTCATCTTCAATAGGAGTTATAGAATCCAACTGAACTTGTTCCTCTATTACTTGTGTTGTAGGAGTGGTTGATATTGTTTGTACATGGGCTGTTACTTCTGAATATTGTGGCACTATCAGATTCTCTTCGATGATATTCAGACGCTCTTTGTTTGATTGTCTAGCAGGAGCAACATATTTTGCAAAAGTGGTTGATCTAGTTTGTGCATGGGCTACTGCTCTTGGCAAATTCTCTACAATAATATTAGGCCGCTCTTTGTTTGATTGTCTAGCGGGAACAACATATTTTTGGCTAAACGAAGTCCTTATTTGGTTTGCAAAAGATGTCATTGTTCCAGGTTTTGTGTATGTTGCGCTTGTCTTTCTTTTGGGCTCTAAAGGTCTTTCTTGACTCATATCTATCAAATCTAATGAAGAATACAAATAAAAATAGCTTTATTAGGTTTTATATAAATAACAATAGTAGAATTCCAAATAAAGTGCAGCTTCGTATGATAAGTTAAGGATATGCATATGATAGTTTCAGAGTAAACTATGGCAATGCACTGCATATGATAGAAGAAAAAATAACAACAGCAATAGGCAGAATATATGTAGCAATAACAAAGTGAAAGATGAACAAAATAAGCACCATAACTATTATCTTGTCTTAAGTCTCATTTCTTGTCTTAAGTCTTATCTGTTCAAGTTCAATTCAGCTTGCTTCTTCCTCAATCATCAGCCTCCATCCAATCCCAATCTGTATCATCTAAATCATCCTCCTCTTCTGATGTTTCCACAACTGTATCTTGTGAATTTTGTGCATCAGTTGGCATATCAATAACATCAAGAGGTACATCTTCTCTTGACCATCTAAAATCAATATCGGCTAATCTAGTTGATGGACCTGCTTCATCATTAGGATCACTCCAAAATGTCTCCCCAACATTAGGAATATTCTCTTCCTCCAAATCATACAAATCAACAGGGACTTTATTTCTTGCATAATAAACATCTTTCTCAATTGGATCCTCCACATAAAAAACTTGATGTACTTGAGATGCCAACACAAAAGAGTCATCAATACTACATAATCGGTTAAAGTATACCCGAGTTAACCCATATTCATCTACTTCATTACGAAACCAATCACATCTAAATAGTACAACACTAAAGCGGCCCCAATAATCAATCTCAATGATATCCTGAATAGCTCCATAGTAGATAACCTCTCCATCAATGGGATTTGGGTCCCTAGCACTAGCAAAACTATCAGTTGTTGCTGACAAAGTCACTCCACTATTTTGAGTCTTCAACGGGGCATCCCGCATCATTGTATGAAACAAGTAGCCGTTGATAAAATATCCAGTATATCGTTTGGCCAATGTATTAGGTCCTTTAGTTAGCCATCGCAAATGATTGGGCACGTCAATGCTTTTTACTTTCTCTTTAAACCAGTCGGCAAAATTTCGACTATGATTTCTTGCTCTTACCCATGCATTTGGTCTAGTACGATTATCAATTAAATTTTTATGTTCACTGCAAGCCATATGTTTCAAATTTAATCATTAGACCATATCAATTAAATTTAAAAATAAAAAAAATAAAGCTTATAATACAAGTGATGATAATATATTTTATCTTACATGATAAACGCCTCCACTTGTTCATCTTCAGTATTGAAGAGAGCATACCTATGAGCCTCAGAACATAACAGTAAATCCATGGGGAAAATCTTTCCTTTTCTTTTTTTCTTACTTCCAATTGGATGGCCAATTTTAGGAAATATAGGTGACAATTTTTCTCCTTTAATGTCCCCATCATCCTCAGTTTGGTACCTACTGAATCTTGTCTTCACCCCATCATGTAGGTATCTCGAACAAAAGGTCAAGCACTCTTCGGCCAAAAACCCTTCTGCAATTGATGCTTCGGGATGAGCTCGATTACGAACAAATGCCTTATACTTGCACAAGGTTCTTTCAGTGGAATACATCCAACGACAATGAGTTGGACCCCCAAGCTTAATTTCATTTACTAAATGAACAGGCAAATGAGGCATTATATCAAAATAGGCTGGAGTGAAGATCATTTCAAGCTCACATGTAATATCATTGATTTCAGTCTGCAATCTATCAAGATCCTCTCGCCTTACAACCTTAGCACATATGGCTCTAAAGAAGTTTCTCAACCTAATCGATGCCAAAGAAACATTCTTGGGTAATGTTTTTCTAACAGCAACTTGGAGCAAGTAATGCATTATAAAATGAGCATCATGACTCTTGTACCCCGATATTTTCATATCTTTCTCATGCACACAATGTGATATATTCGAGGCACAACCTTTTGGCAATTTGGCATTTTTAAAGACGGTGCAAAATCGCCTCTTCTCTTTTGGATTCATGTAGAAACAAGCTTTAGCCAAAAAAATTGTTCCACTTACAATATCTTGTATTGGTTGAAGCTCTTTTCGCATTCCCATTTCTTGCAAATCGTAACGAGAATTTACATGATCTTTTGACTTTCCATCGATCTCCAATAATGTCCCAAGAATACTATCACATATATTTTTCTCAATGTGCATCGGATCAAGATTGTGCCTCAATTTGTTAGTTTCCCAGTATGGTAGTTCAAAGAAGATGGATCTTTTCTTCCATGGACACTTGTTATCCCGATACCTTTTCTTTTGGCCCTTTCCAAAGACATTCTTGAATTCACGCAACTCTTCGAGGACTTCTATACCCGACAAAGGAGTAGGTGCATGTCTATGATCCTCCTTACCATCAAATGATTTCTTATCTCTTCGAAATGGATGTTCAGGAGGCAAAAATGCCCGATGACCCATGTAGCACATCTTACGACTATGCTTGAGATATTGAGAACATGTGCCATAATTACAAGTGGGGCATGCAAATTTTCCCTTTGTGCTCCATCCAGAAAGCATTGCTAGTGCAGGAAAATCACTAATTGTCCACATTAATGTTGCACGCATTTGAAACATCTGGTTGGATTCGGCATCAAATGTTTCTACACCAAATTCCCATAGTTCCTTCAATTCAGCAATTAGAGGTTGTACATACACATCTATATCATTTCCCGGAGATGACGGACCTGGGATGATCCTTGACAACATTATATACTCTGGCTTCATGCAAATCCAAGGCGATAGATTATAGTTCATTAACATAACAGGCCATGTGCTATGGGAAATGCTCATTTTTCAAAACGGGTTGAAGCCATCACTTGAAAGACCCAATCTAACATTGCGAGGGTCGCTAGAAAATTCAGGGTGCAAGGAGTCGAATTCCTTCCAAACATCACCATCAGCAGGATGTCTTATATTTCCATCATTCGGTCGTTCAATGGCATGCCATCTCATAGCTTCAGCTGTTTCGGGACACATGAATATCCTTTGAAGCCGAGGCTTTAATGGAAAGTACCTTAAGACTTTTGCAGGGGTTTTGGTCTTTTTATTAGTCAATACATTAACAACATTCTTCCATCTAGAAGACCCACACACAGAACAAGTATCTGCATTTACATATTCATTCCAAAATAACATGCAATCATTAGGACATGCATGTATTTTTTCATAATGAAGACCCAAATCTTTTATCATGCTTGTTGCCTTATAGAAAGACTCGGGTAGCTGAGCAAATGGAAATGCCTCTTTTAACAACTCCAACAAGTCTGTGAATGCCACATTACTTATCCCATGAATGCATTTAAATAAGTACAACCGAATCGTAAAACCTAATTTGGAGAAATTTTCACACCCTAGATATAATTCTTCTTTCCCTTCTTCTACTAATTTAAAGAATCTTTTTGCATCTTCTGATGGTCCNACCGTGATTACCGCCACTTCTGACACAGCAAGGTAAATGTCGCACCTCCTTTTTACCGCGCCCGCGGGGGCGCATGGGGAGTTTTCTCCAATTAAAGGACAGTCGAAACGGGATTTGTTTATTTGTTTCAGAGTCGCCACCTGGGAATTTTAAGGCGTCCCAAGTCACCAATTTTAATCCCTGAATCGAGGAGAATATGACTCTGTTTATTATTCTGCGAACCAGAAATCCTGAGTAAGGAATTCTGTTAATCCGGAAGAAGGTGTTAGGCATTTCCGAATTCCGTGGTTCTAGCACGGTCGCT